AGCCTGTCGGCCACGACGAGGCGGCCGCTGGCGCGGTCGAAGCGAAAATGCTGGCGGCCGTCCTCCGACACCAGGCGGGCGCGGCGAGCCGAGAGCTGCGCCGGCGGCAGCGCCGCGTCCTGCGCCAGGTTGCCTACCAGGGAGCCGCTGTGCGCCTCCTCGGCTACGGAGTAGCGGATGGGCTGCGAGTGAGCGAGCGGCAGGGAGAGCAACGCACACACACAAAGCACTTGCCTTGCGATCGCCATGGCCCTCTGGCTCCGGCTGCGGCGGCGGCTGCGGCGTCAGCTGCGGCGGCGGCGGCGGCGGCAGAGCCCTGTCTCCTTCTCGCAGATCTCTCTGGTAGTTCCCCCTTCGAAAGCGGCGGCGGTCGGGTGCCTTCCTTCTCCCTCTGTATTCCGGTCTGGTCGGCTATCCGGAGTGCGGCCGCTCTGGCCCGGGAGCGGATGGCAGAGACCGGGGCTCGGTGGCGCAGCCGCTGCTCCCTCGGCCCGGCTCGGCTGTTGGGAGCTGGGCTGGGCTTGGCTGTGCTGAGCTGGGCTGCGCTGGGTCGGTGTCGGCGGCGCCTTAGCCGAGACCACCACCCAGCGGTGCGCGCTGGGACTGCGCCTGCCGCCGCCCGCTGCCCGCGCTGCCGCTCGCCCCGGCCCACGGACACGCGCGCACACGCGCGGGGCCGCCGATCGCCCGCGGGTGCGCCCGGGGCAGGACCCGGGCACATCAAAGCGGGGAATGAATATACCGGAGAGAATCGGGATGAGCCAGGCGGGGCCGCCGCTTGAGTTCGATCACAGGAACAGCTCCGGCACCTGCCCCTCCTTTGTCCTCGCTCTCTGCTGCCCAAAGCCCGCGGAGAGCCGTGAGCTCTCAGCTCCCGGCCCGCATATCAGTGCCTTTCGAGAAATGGGGAGGTAAAAGTGGCTCAAGGAGATTCCCAACACAGCGTGGCACAGATTCTGAGCCCGGAAAGACTGAGCCGCCTACCCCAAAGAGAGAAATCGGTTCAAAGCCTCTGTCTGGCAACAGCTCGGGCATTGCACTGAACACTCCATCGGCTTCATCTACGAACTCAACGCATACAGCCAGCCAGCATTATATCAGTAAAGGCACACTGAAAAAAACTTCCGTAAAAAAAACTCCCATGAAAAAACTCCTATGAAGAAAAGTCTTGAAAAACCTTGACAGACCTTTCCCAGAAAGAACTTCTCTACAAAGACTTCTGTCTCCACATAAGGAATAAGGGAACTCTCTTTATTTCAGTCTTACACATTATTTCAGTATTTACAATCAGAAGTATCCCAGCTTATAATGCTACAGTTTCGATACAACAAAGTGTGTGGTTTTCTGAATATTCCGTTTATCACAGATCTCATTCAAGGAATCAATTAGTATAGATGAAAGGAGAATACAAATGCTCTAACACAAACCCAGTAAATCATGCAGGGACAGTTTCACAGTTCAATTCTGTGAATTCAAAAATAACAATGAGGAGACAGAACTCAGTCCTTTTCACAAGCTCATCTTGATTCTATCTTTAGAAAATGCTCTTTGAAGGACATGTGGAGTTTGAATGCAATGCACCCAAAGACAATGAACATGCTTTCACAATTCTGTACAGTTACAGTCTAAGTAAACATTGTTTGTGCTGCTGTACTGCAAGGACACAGAACACCCAACCCACTCTTATCGTCCAAAGGAAGACCTTATTGTGCATTTTGCTGCCCTGCCCTGCCCTGGAGAAGATGTGACTGTTGTGCTCAGAAAACGCCCTTCGTGACAGCTAAGCTGGAATTGGCTGTTTTGCAGTGGCTGAATGAGAGCAACTCCCTATTTCACGGGCTGCACTAGTGAGAATTAGGAGACACACGGTGGCTGTATTGACTGACATGGCGACAAGAAAGCACACGGAGGTCACACTTCTCAGCCAGAGACATCCAGAACCCAGGAACGAAAGAGTCCTGAGCTTACACAACACTCTAACACAGCACTCACAATTTCCTCCTTTTCCTGAGCTGGGAAAAGGTCTTTGTGCATTTCAGAGAGGATGAGATTAGTCTGCCCAGGCGTACCATTCTCTTATAGCACAGAATAAAAGGTCCACCGTCTGGTCAGACAGCAAGAGAGACAAGAGCTCATCTCTGTCTGCTTACCCCATTCTTAAAGCCTCTCAGAAACACCAGAAGGAGCCTAAACGTTTGAATGTCAAAGTGCTTTAGTTCCTTTTTTCTCTTTGCTTATTTGCTTCTAGGGGAACACAAACATTTCATGACTTACAATTTCAGGAATTCGGTTATGCAAATACAGGCTTATTCTGGAAGAACCATTACCGTAGGCTACAGCCTGCATCCCTCCCTACCACGAGGCATGAAGCCTCTGGCTCTGCTGACTCCTTGCTAGTTAAAGGAAAGACGATTGAACTGTTCTGCAGACACAGGCCCAGCACTGTCTGGGGTCACGTCCTCTGTGGGGACAGGGACACAAGGGAAAACCTGTTCCTCACTGATGTCCCCGCCCACGGCACAGGGCTGTGGTGGCAGGCTGGGGACGAAGGGCTTGAGGAACCTGAACTCGCTGTTGCCCGAGCCCGTGGTGAGGCTGATCTCGTAGCAGTAGGGGCGGGGCAGGGTCCCCGCAGCAGCTGCATCGGCCAGGCCGCTCGGCAGGTTGTCGGCCCCGGAAAGCACGTGGCCAGCCTTCAGCTGCTTTCTCT